AATTTTAAAATAGCAGATGTATTTAACATCATAGTTAGGAACCAAAAGAAAAAAAAAAATCAGTTCACATGGTTTGCATGTGTAAGTGTTTCTGAAAGTTGTACTTTACTTGTTAGAGAAGATGAGTCCATAAAATGCTGCATTATGATGGACTTGGGCTCTTTTTTATATCTCAAAGCTTCAGCACTACCTACAAGAGGTTTCGTTCAACAGCTCTGGAGAAGAAGTAAACTTTGATCAGAATGGAGATCCTATTCCTTCCTATGATGTGATAAACTGGCAAAGAGCAGCAGATGGGAATATCGAGTTTTGCACAGTAGGACTTTACGATGCTTCCCGAGGTGCTGGAAAAGAGCTCTTTATACAGGAAGATGGTATCACCTGGAATGGCCACCCAGGCAAGGCAAGCTGCAAACAGTGTGTATTTACTTTTCTGAAAAGACTTTCAAATTAGAGCCTCTTCCTCAAATAACCCCAAATGAGACATTTGTGAAGTGTGAAAAATTATATAAGCAGGTCTGTATCTTTTCTTTTCATGTGATCATTTATCTTTATGATTTTGCTATTAAAAGCATTATGAGGCAGGAGCTCAAACAATTCAGCCTGAAAGTGAGTCCTCAAGCCCTTTTGTTTTTTTTTAAGCAATTGTTTGCTGAAAGGAGTCTGGACAAAAGAGCTCATGGCTTTCTTTTGTGCTCAGATGCAGGAATGAAAGTATGAAGCCAGCATTTAATGTACAGTAAATGTACGAAAGCACTGGCTACAATACACTAGGATCCTGAACATGGACAGATCTGAACTGCTTTCTTGTTCACATCCGTCAAAAAAAAAGAAAATGGGCGTTGATTTTAAAAAGGTTTTAGAAAACAAAAAACATTGAACTCAATATAAAAGATTATAATAAAATGGGAAATTTAACACTGAATAATTTCTGTAGACACAAATATACTGTAAACCAATAAAATAATAATACATTCTTAGGTTTTAGCATGAAAACTGAAGAATTTGTTTTGACTTATGAATAAAATATTCTAATGTTAGCATTCCAGCTATTCTAGATATGATTAGATTTGAAATGGAGGGTTTTAATAGCAGAAGTGGTGAAATATGATATGTAAGCCTTTTGTAGAACATGTATAATACTGTACATGCCTGCCCTGTAAGGTTCCAGTGTCTGTGTGCACGGAAAGCTGTCGTCCTGGAACGAGAAAATCTGTCCGCAGAGGGGAGCCTCTTTGTTGCTTTGACTGTATACCATGTGATGATGGCAAAACTAGTAATCAGACAGGCAAGTACTCCATGTTCACAACTGAATTGTATGGCTTATTCCCTCATATTATTTCTACTTTATTTTAAACTATGTGGAGCTTAAAAAATGCAGGTAAAAACTATAAAGCCATACACCACAGTATCTGAAAATAGAGCTAAACTCACAGGAACCATTAAAGGCACCTCTGTAAGAAGTACAAACTTAGAAATGTATCTCTTCAGAAGTTCAAATGAATAAATCAAGATGATCAGTTGTTTTTTTCCCTCTCTCTTTGTAGATTCAATAGAGTGCATACCATGTCCTCCAAATTACTGGTCAAATGCTGCAAAAACAGACTGCATACCCAAAGAGGTGGAATACCTGAGCTATGATGAAATGGGGATCACACTGGCAGTGATTGCTCTACTGGGAGCTTGCCTTACGATTGGTGTCCTTGTGGTCTTCCTTCACTCCAGAAACACTCCGATAGTCCGGGTTAACAACTCGGAGCTCAGCTTCTTTATCCTGCTGTCACTCACACTCTGTTTCCTGTGTTCTGTTGCTTTCATAGGACAGCCGACATATTGGTCTTGTATGTTTCGGCACACTGCCTTTAGTGTAACCTTCTCTATGTGCATATCCTGCATTCTTGGGAAAACGCTGGTCGTTCTAGCAGCTTTCAAAGCGACGAGGCCTGGCAGTAATGTCATGAAATGGTTTGGACCCAGGCAGCAACGGATGATCATTTTCGCATGTACTGCAGTACAAGTAGTCACCTGTACTATATGGCTGATAGCTGCTCCGCCATTCCCCCTTAAAAACACTGTCTATCAGAGGTCAAGGATCATACTGGAGTGTAGCACTGGCTCTGATTTGGCTTTCTGGTGTGTACTGGGCTACATTGGGGTTTTGGCTTGTTTGTGTTTTGTTCTTGCCTTTTTAGCTAGGAAACTGCCAGACAATTTTAATGAGGCGAAGTACATTACATTCAGCATGCTCATCTTTTGTGTCGTGTGGCTGGTTTTTATACCCGCGTATGTCAGTTCACCAGGAAAGTACACTGTGGCTGTTGAAATATTTGCAATTCTGGCCTCTAGCTTTGGGCTGCTTGTGTGCATATTTGCTCCAAAATGTTATATTATTTTATTGAAACCTGAAAAAAATACCAAACATCACCTGATGGGAAGAGTAAATGCCAAAACAAACAGTGAAACATAATCATGCTCATATGAACTATAGAAGATTCTATGTGTTACACTAATTAGTTTTTTTAGTGTATTGCATATGAATTTGAGTTTTGTTGTGGTGTTTTGTTTTTAATGACAATACTTGTAAACACATGCATGATACAATCGATGCATATTTTGGTTAATGCCAACTGAAAACCAGATTAAAACAAACATTTTGTAAAATATATTTTTGTACAATTTTATCACTTTTACATGTTTAATTATTTATTAAATATTACTAAAGCTTTTACTATGAAAACTGTTAGTTCAATGGTTTCAAAAAATACATTCAGTACAGATTTATTAGAAGAGAGCTAGGACTTGGTTCTTTCAAACTGTAAAAAAGTAGAATATTTGAAAAGGTTAAATAAATTCACCGAATCATTTTTATTATCTATTCTACTTTAAAAAAATGAAAACCATATCTTGAAGACATCCCAGTATTTGCAAGGTCTCACTTTAAAAAGGTATAATTACTATTACGATGGTGTTTATGTAAATGTCCTGCAAATTTTCCTTTTCATACAGTACATTTTCATCTTTACATGCCCACATCATGACAAATCCTACTATTAAGTATTGTAATTAAAAAATATTTTATTTTTACATTCTTCTTTTAATTAAAAAATAATATTTTAAAAATTAAAGTGTGTGTATGCTTTAATGATCTCTTCTAGAACTCTCTAACAACAAGACAAGTTATTAATTAAATTCTTCCAAGTGACCACTTTTGTCTTGTTAATTTGGCACAGAGAGTTCTTTAACAGACGCAGTACAGTATGAATCCCTATATGTTTGGCTGGAAGACACCAATCAAACACAACATACCTCAGGGGAGCAGAGCTTCAGGCTGTGAAAGCACTAATTCTTTGTGTTAACAATAGGTACATGCAATTTTTTTATACTATAGGACTGTGACAAATTTCTATTTAAAATTTTAAGAAAACATTCAGCTGCCTGCCCCAACGCATGCAACATAGTATAACAGAGACAGACGCAAATTGTTTTAACAGGTTATAATAATAGCAGTATACCAACAATACAATAGGCCACTTTCTTCACAGAAATGTATTACAGAAACTGTTCTTGGTATTTACACACCCAGAAACATAATGAACAAAACCACATATAATCTTTTAACAAAATATACACAATAAATCTTCATGCTGGTATTCACTCATGCTAAATGTGGTTGTCATGGTAGCAACAGCTTTCTTCAAATTTCTTATAAAATGGCCACAGGATTCAGGTCAGGTGATTGCACCTTTAATCCATTAATCCATTTTGTTTCTGTTTTTGCCCAGAGGAAGGTGTTCAAGAGCTGACCAGGCTCGGCACACATTATGGTATATTGCATGGGTTCACTGTTGTGTATGTGTTTGAGAACTGTTGTGCACTATTTATTATGGAGTTGATAATGCCAGTAGAAAAAGTTAAAAAGTTTTGAAGAGGAACTGCAGTCCCAATTTCTCAGTTAACAAATCTCAGTAACAAATTAATTGACAGTATTGCATAATTTTACAAATACCAAATTAATCACAAAATCATATGTTTTGGCCTCCATTTGTCTCTCATTTTGCCGCAAACCACCAGTCTTGCCATAGGTGAGAGCGAGGGTTTGTGCGAATGGCGATGTAAAGCACTAGCCACCGTAATGACTATTGTAATGTGATGGACGAGCGAATAAGTACAGGTTATGCAGCAGACATTTCACCGCAGAAATGTCCGACGTGATCTGCATGCAGAGTTATCAAGCAAGTAGTATTTGCTGGCACAATCATCTTGAAATAAAAAAAAACAATTTCTATTGGTTTAAAAGACATGTATTCACAAGCCTGCTTGTTTACAACATCATAGGACCACAACACATCACCGGACGTTTTGTTGCTGCGTTCTAAATCACAAAACATGGTGCTGTGCATACTGGCTTTTTACACGTTACTGTGTACATTTAACTTTTATTGCAATTTGAAATATTTGTCAATGTTGATTTCTTCTCACCCCAAAACACGAAATAACGTTGCAGTTCCCCTTTAAAATATCTGCAGAAGATTTTTTTAGTAGGCTCACACATCTGTCACATTAAATCATCCAATGCAGCAATTCAACCTGAGAAGCTTTCAAAAACTGAGTGCGATCATATAATAGATAACCGTACCACTCCAATTTACATCAATTTCAAATTCAATGCATAACGATATTGAACTGTGCTATTTATAATATGTATTGACAACAGCATCACAACCACAAAAGGAAAAACAAAAGCACATCAAACTCATATTTTGCCATTAATTTAGTTCAAACTTATCCAGGGACAAACTAAATCAGTTATGTCACTACTGGGAATATCCCGTATTCATCAGCATGCTCTACACA